CTCCTTGATGCCTTGACTGCATGAATTTAAGCATGCAACTAGATTGGCAATTAGGTCTCACCGTTTTATTGTTGAACTAACTAGATGCAACTATATATATTATTCTAATATTTACTTTTCTCATACTTCCAGCCTTGTTTTTTTTTTTGCTTTCATGCCACCTAGAATCTCCAAAAATTTAAATCCAAAGCCAGTTGCCATCTTCCATCTTCCTGAATCTTGTCCCTTCATTGTTCTTTTCTTTACTTCTCCTCACTAAAGTCTTCTCATTCTCTTTCACTCTCAGTAACCCCATGTGTCCTAGTGGCATTATCACCTTACTTGGGGTGAAATGATTAAAAAAAAAGCAATAGTATGACAAAAAAAAAAATGCTGAGTCATGTATCCACTCTGACTGCTTAAAAGGACCTGTTTGTGACACTCAAGGCAGTCATACGTAAGTAAGTAGGCTGTCACTAACACCTCTAGGGGCCCCGGTCAACTGACCCGACACAGGCTTCAACGCCAGGCCCTACCAACACCACCATCATCCAGGTCATTTCCCACACAGAGTTTTATCCACCTCGATCATCTTTCAGCAGTGCAAATAATTTTATTTTAACGCATCTTGCCTCCTTTTATTTCTGCTTCACCAGCAGTAGTGTTGTTTTTATTTGATCTCATACAACCATACACAGTTTATTGCCTTAGCAAACTAAATAGAAAATATAATATATAAAATGAGGTAAATGTAAGAGATACATATAAAATTTTAATAATTAGTTTGAAATCAAAGTTTATACCTCAAATATTTGTGACAAATTTTTACAAATAACTATAGAAAGATCATTGTGTTTTATAAAAATATAGGTTATCTCCCTGTCTATATCTCTGAGTTGAGGTATTATTATTACTTGCATTATTTACATTATTCGGACTATTATCCTCATCTTCATTGTCATATTCACAGCGTTTCAGCTGTAGTACACTTCAGCCTTCTTCATATGATTGGAATTTTGAACCAAAACCTTTATTTTGTTCACCGGGGTAGATCGTTCTAGTTCCACATGCCATGCCTCTTCTGGATGTCTCATTTATTTCCCTTTAACTCAACTTTCCAAGTTTTTGGTTCACCACTGCTGTGGCCTGGTATTGAACTAACAACTCATTGGGTCTAGTCATTGGATCTAACCAACGTCTTTATAATGGCCCAATGGATAAAAATGTTGGTTAGATACAGAGACTAGACCCAAAGAGTCGTGAGTTCAATACCAGGTCAAAAACTTGGAGAGTTGAATTAAAGGTAAAATATCTGAGATATCCAGAAGAGGCATGGCACGTGGAACTAGAACAATCTACTCTGGTGGACGAAATAAAGGGTTCAGTTTGAAATTCCAATCAGCTGAAGAAGGCCGGAGCATATAATGGCCAAAACATTGTAAATATGTAAATGAAGATGAGGATAACAGTCCGAATAATCTAAATAATGCAAGGTTATCTACCTTTGATTAATAACACTGGCTGATTGAAAGATAGGTTCATTTATGTGATAATAATGAATAAGACCCAAAATTAGGCATCAAAAGGAATTTCGGTATCATAGCTGAGAGGCCCTGAAGATCATGAAAAGAACTGACATTTTTAGCCTACTCCAAGAACAGGCAATGCTGGCCATGAGCAAACCTGAATAATGCAAGAACAATCAGCTATAAAAGAAGAATATAAACAGCATCAGATAAGTATTTCAATCAATTTCATACAGATATATGTATTTAGATTTTGTCCCCAATACCATGATTATTACTGCTAAAGGACTATGTTTTAGCAATTCTATATTCTTGTTCTTAATTTATAATGTATTTCTCATATAAAGTGAGCCTTTTATATTGTTCAACTGTCTCGTCTTTGTTCATCAGCCACATCTCAATTTGGGGAGTCGCTAAATTTTCCACAATATAACTTTAAATTGGGAGAATCTTCTTCTTTCTGTTTTATCTGCCTTTTCTTTCTTCTGTTTCTTCCTTTTGTCATCATCTTTGTCCATGACTTTTAGTTTTTCATAGTTCATTTCTCAGACACAGTCCACAGTTATTAGCCTGTAAAAGCCCAAACCCTTCTATTAATTCCTTTTTGCCTACATTGACTTTCATAAGAATTAAATCTTATATATATATATATATATATATATTTCAACTAATTAAATCCAACCAGACAGTTTGTTTGATGAACAATAATTGCAACAGCAAATATTATTAAAATTTAATGGTCACTCTTGGAATGGGCCAAAATGAGGGCCCAATCAGTACCCTTGTAGAATTCATGTGGTACCATCAGCAGACCCCTATATAAAGTCTGTCTCCCAGAATTCAGCCTCTTTTTTCGTTCACTTTCCTTTGCAACTGGCTCTTAGCCTTAACCCATCAACCTAAATAATTTTCAGGGACAAAACCCCCACAATATTGCTGGAATATTTTTGGACATAGTTGTAGACCTACCACATGTTATTTTTGGAGTATTTAGAACATAACAATTATAAATCCTTTCATCACTCCTGCAAATTCAAGAAAAATATTTTCACAAGCCAGTGTGAAATTATTTTCTAACCAATGAAAACCTTTTATCCAAAAAGTTCACACTGCTATGTGAAATTAGACTTTGAATCCCTTTAGGGATATAAAAATAGAAGCATACTGCTTCTCTAGGTTCACAACAATTTCAAAGATCAGTTTGAGTTACACATGTGTACACACCCACACACACACACAATATGACAGCCAGCACCTGTCGATTAAGGCCTTGTCCATGAAGATGATAGAAGGGATTAACCAATAATTGTCGACTAAGTCTACGATCACACAAACACATTAAGCTGACTGTTATGAAGTAAGTCTGTTCACACATTTCATATTGCATTAAGAACACTTAATTACTTTATAAAACAGACTTCTCTGCAAGAAAAATTGAACATTTTATTGCCATTGTATATTTCTGAAAAGAATATATAAATGTCATTTCAACTGAAATTCTACTTTTACTTTCAGAAAATAACGTTTTTCATGTTTCAGTTAAAAGATGTATTGTTGTTGTTGTTAAATGTTTGGGATCCTGACATTCAGATAACAATGAAAACCTGGGTAGATGGATCTAAGCACTTTTAGTTTTTTTTTGTTTATTTCCCAAAAACAGTCAATGGTCATTAGCTTGTGAAAGCCAAAGCCTTCCTGGCTGTCAGATAAACCAGACTTCTTAAGTAGCCACAAATCAACTCCAAATTGAAAGCTATAGGGTGCAACTTACTTTCCCCATTGTTTAAAAAATCCCAAGATGTAAACTACACCCAATCACAAATTTTCTTTTTGCATGTTTTAAGCTTCTTTTTTTTTTTACAATTTTTGAAAACCAAATTTTATACATATATCTTTTTTGTAATCTGTCAGGCTACATTTTAGCATTTTTTCCAGATTTTATACATGCATCATTTATAAACCACCTGACTTTATTTTTATATTTATCTTTTAATTAATTTTTATGTAAGTTTAAATTTTTTTATTATTTATTTTTTTTCATTTTCTCCCCTCAAAAGAAAGTATAATAAACATAGTTTATTGGAGTGCTACTCAAAGTGATGGTCTGTGGACTGGTGCTGGTACATGAACCATTAGCTACTGGTCTGCAGCCAGTGTCCAGGCCATGTTAAGGAATCATTTGAAGCTTATATTTTTATTACTTTTTATATGTTTTGATATTAAATGTTTTTTTTGCAAAATAAATGGAAGATAAAAAATAGTCAACTTTTATTATATTCAGTATATTTATCGTTTCCAAAATAAATTAATATTACCATGAAATATTACAAGTACATGACACATTGAGAAAAAAAATTGGCAGTCCACCATATCAAATAGTTTGAGAAGCACTGGTCTATTGTATTATTTTTTTTATTTACCTTTTAATTATTTTTATATAATTTTACATTTCTTTTTTATTATATAAATCTTTATAATATATATATAAAAGGTATGCTGTATAACAAATATTAATAATAAATTGAAGTATATTTTATTAAAAATTAATCATAAATTAAAACTAAGAATTAAAACTAACAGATTAAATTTTATCAATGTGCTAAAAACTTAATTTCATTTAAATAATAAACTTTATGAATTTAAGCGCAGTACTAGATTGGCAGCAAGGTCTCATCATTTTACAGTTGAAATGGCTAGATGTAACCATAAATTCTATGCTAACAGTTTTTTCTATTGCACTTCTCGCTTGTGGAACTCTCTTCTGGCTTCTTGCTTTCCAGTCAGCTTTGATCTTCAAAAATTTAAATGCAATGTCAATCATTATCTTCTATTTTCTTAATTTCTGTTCTTTTATTGTCCTCTCTCCTTAATAGTGTTTTTAATTCTCATATTCTCTAACATTCATTAACTCTTTGCATCTTAGGAGCTTTATTGCCTTGCTTGGGGAGAAATAACAATAATAATAATAATAATAATAATAATAATAATAAATAAATATTTAAATAAAATCAGTTTTTCTAATAAGCTTCTAACTTTAAAGTTTATTTTCTCATTCGATGCTCCATGTTGTAGCCCTGTGCCAGACTAACTTAAGCTTAACAATAGAAGTATTTGAATTAATTAAAAAAAGATTACTTCAGATGTCTTTGAAAATTCACTTTATAAAAATTATAATATTTTTCAAATTAAAAACTTTAAGCAGCAAATTAACATTGTAATGGAAGAAAAGTAATTAAAATATCAAAGTCTCCAATCAGTTAAAGAAAGCAGAATAAGTCAATATACTTTATATCAAACTTTTAAATATAACTAATATTTTAAAATTAAAATGTGTAAAAATACAAAACAAATAAAAATAAATTTATCATTATAATTCGGAAATGTGAAAAATCACCGAAGATATCCGAATTAAACCGAAAGGAAGCGGAAGTTAGTAGAACGTCAACTGCGCCGGTTCTTCGTCTATCAGCCTTTCCGGTTTAGCAGCCAAGCAAGATGAGGTGAGAATTTGTCTACTCTTCGCCGAATCTGTTTAATCTTGTTACATATTATTAATTCTGATTTTTCACTTGTATATATTTAGTCTTATGACGTTTGTCATGAATTATTTTTGCTGTTTTCATGTATGTTTTAAAATTTGTTAGTTTTATAAACTCATTTTTACATCAGATGATGGCATGCATGTGTGGTGGCCATGTTGCACTCATTTCAGTCTAAAGCGTTGTAGTAAAACTTTATTCTTTTGGAAATTAATGAATTTATACTTAATTTTGTAAATTCAGTACAATATATTTTATACACTCTGCATTCATTTTATCCGATCAAAAATATAAATGAAGCAAAACTGATGATTCAATATATGATGATTCAATATACACGCGAGGACTTCAAATAGACAAAAATGAATTATGAGTGATAAAGTTTGCAATTGTTTGTCAATTTAGGTATTCATTTTGATATAATGCAATATAAAAGATTTCTAAAATGTCATTTCGCCATCGATTTCTGCCAGTTTTAAGAAAAACAATTTTAATCTGTGATGTTCGAAAGCTAATTAATTACAAAGCAGATGAGCAATCGGCAAGTGAAATGGGGCTTCCCCCTCCAAAAAATAAGAAAAACGAATTCTATTTTATGAAAATAGAAATTTAGTGTTTAATATTTTTATCAAATATCGAATAAAATTATCGAAATAAATATCAAACAAAATTTTGGATTTCCAAATGTCTACTCAGTTGAAACAACCTTGTATAAAAATGTTTTTAGAGACTGGTGCTTCTGTCGTACACGTAAAGAATGTCGAATAAAATTATTGAAAGCATCTTTAAATATAGAATTTTATTTGTAGATGTCGACCTTTTTTATGATTAAACAAAAATACTACCACTAATAATAATATATTTTGGTATTTTGTAATTAAAAGTTATTGTTCGGGAACCTGTTTTACAATAAAATAACTAAAAAGAAAAAAGTCTGTCATTTTCGTTGTCGGTATGATTTTTTTTACAGTTACTTTTATTTTTATTTATAATTCCGAAAAAAATATACAGGCGGTCAAAATTTAAAAAGATGATCTTGTATTCCTGACCATAAAATTAAAATAAGAAATTTTGAATGTTAATTTTGTATTTTTAAAATTTCTTTTTATTAGATTCGATAATGTGTTTTATTTTTTTTCAAATAACCCTACTTCCCAACAATCGTGATAATTTGGATTGCTAAAAGAAATTAAAAGATCTGTCATCATGCACCTTAAATTTGGTTAAAAACGTGTCCACGTCGAAAATACAGTTTGCAAAATATTACATAGGGTTTTTCTTTTTTTTTTTTTTTTTTTTTTTTCCCTTAGGAAATTATTTTTCTCGGTTTGTGATTTGAATAAATTTATCCTTAACTTTGGGAAACTTTAATGTTTTTTTTGTTTAAATCTGGTTTTTGATTGACAATGCAAAGTTTGATATTGTACTGAGTGTACTCTTACTTTGTATCCATTTTTATAAAATAGCCTGTCTCTTGTTGGTCGCTAATTTTTTAAAGTACGGAAGACCAAAAAAGATAAAACTGGTCTTTTTTTCTTTTTAAGTTTACGACACAACCTAATTCCCAGGTTATCTTGATAAAATATTTTTTAGGGGTGCCCTAACTCAAAAAATATACCTACATTTTTGCATAAAAGTAGATCCATATTGTGTAAGTATTTACATTGGAAATTAAACATGTGATGTCAATGTCTACCTTAGCATCCATTTTGATATTAAGTAAAATGTACCCCCACTTTTGTGTGCTTTCGATTTAACTTTTTATTTTATTTATTTATTTATTTTTTTTTTTTTTAGATAGCTTAAGGTAATTTTTACCAAAATTAGTAGACATGAAATGAATTTTTTGTTATTTCTTTCAAAGAACACACAACACAAGGAAAATTGAACATTTTATTGCCATTGTATATTTCAAAGGATCTGTAAAATAATTTTAGGCAGAATGTTCCACTTTCCTTATTTTTAATTTTTTTCTTAATAAATGGAAAATCGAAATTTTATTTTTAATACTTTCAGTTTAGAAGGGGTCCTGTTTATAAAATCAATCCTTGACATTTTACAGGCTTATTGGACTTGTCTGTTTTTGTGTGTGAAAACAGACTTTATTTTTTAAATTAAAGACAAAAGTAATAAATTAATAAAAGTATGAATCTTGTTTAATCTTCAAGATAAATAATTATTAACCTCAAATATCTCATTTGATTTTTGACCTCACATGTACTTGTACCATGTAGGATATATACGGATAATTGGTGAGCTGAATTCACATTTGTAGCCTAGCCCGTTGTATTCAACTTTGCATTTATACACATGGGGGGGGGGAATTTGTGGAGAGCCATCATCATTTATTTCCTGACAGGTTATGGTATTTTAAAGGAATATTATCATTTAATTGTTTCTTCATTGAGTGGCAGCTGTTTTCTTAAAATTCAATCTCTTTAAGTCTATCAGAAGATGTTTTAATTAAAATCTTTTATAATGCATTCTGATTTTGGAGTTTGCTGTCATCAAAATAGTGATGGATATAGATCCTTTATAAATGTACTAACCCTTTATTTGTGGGGAGGGGCAGAAATTCTTTTCATTAGTAATGAAAAATGGAATTAAAAATACTAATGAATATAGAATTGACTGGCTGACTAATTGGGGAGAAAAGCAACTAATTTGTCAAAAGTTAATGTCTAACACGGCTTCATCTAAGAAAAAGATATTAGGACAATTCTTGTATTGAGTTGACATGTTTTATGGCATTTTTGGTAAGCTACACTTTAAGGTGAACCGGAAATTGAAGTTGATTGGCTGTGTAGGACTATTTGATGCATTGTCATTACATGTGGCTCAAACTGGCGTTTGGTAATTGCACTGAGTTGCATTGGTTGGTGCTTCAGCAACGCTGACTTGATTTTTCATTGAAAATCAAATGCCCCTCTTTTCACTAGATGCAAAATTTTCATGTAATGATAAATGGCATGGCGTAATGGGATCTGTATCAAGGGAATGTTGCCAATTACTTGTTAGTGATGGAGAGAGTACAGGGGGTGAAAGAACTTCCTTACCGCCATCTGTTTGCTATCAAACCAAAAACCTTTCTGAAGAATCTGGGAGGGACTTTTTATGAGTTTTTCAGTCTGAACAGATGAAAGATCGAAATAACAATGAAGGCTGTCTCTCACTTTGTTTCACTAATAAAATGACACTATTTTCAGGGTGGCCCTACTAAATGTGAATATGGGCTGATGGCTATGTCGCATTGAAACGCCAGGTCTTTTTACAGCTATCAAGGTTAAGTAATGTCGGGCCTGGTCAGTACCTAGATGGGTGACCAGTTGGGAATACCAAGTGCTGTAAGATTGGGTGTGCAGGTGGTGTAATGGTTAACAACTCTGAATTGGAGATTCCAGTGGAGTTCTATTCACTTAGGCAGAAATCCTATTGGGAAAGGTAATGGTTGATGAGCTGGAAAAAAAATCTCAAGAAAAATATGAATCCATCCTTTCTCTCCCTATTTATGGGTTAATTAATAGGATTTGTATAGGTACCTCCAATTGCTAAAAAATCAGTATAGTATAATGATAAAAGGTCCAAAACTTAATAAAAAGTTTCATCATTAAAATGTTTGTTATTATTAAGAGGAAAGAACAAAGTATTTTTTTAAAAAAGTATCCTTCTTTCTAACACATTCTAAATTTTTTTATTTATTTCTTTATTTTTTAACTTTAATACTTGTGGTCATCGCCATTTTAGTGTAGCAGTTTCAGGGGGAAAACCCATTAATTTGGAAATTCTTGCAAAAGTCAAATAATTGTCTAATTTTAATGACACCTTCAGGACTTATTAAAAAAATAAATGAATTTATTTTTGAAATTTTTATTTTAGAAAATCTTGGTAAAAAAATATTTATTTTTTTTAGAATTTCCAAAAGGACGCAAATTGTTATATATTACTTATAAGCAGGACTCAGTGGGGAAATTAAATAATCAATTTTTTTTATTTTATTTTTTTTTTTTTTAAACAACCGCTGCCAACTTTTTAAAAATCTGCTCCAAATTGTAAAATAAAAACTGCAATAAATGATCTAATTATCAAATTAGATAGGCTTTTATTTGCCTTTATAAATAATATACATTAAGGGCATTATTATGTGAAGACTATATTTACTAAGCGAAAATTAAAAGCTTAATACAAATGCTACCAAAACTTTTTATCATAATTAAAAAATTTTTTTTTTTTTTTTTGTATGATATCTCATAAGTGATATTATGTATGGTTAAAAGGTGGTCAAAGCTGGTCTCCTCCTTGGAGAAAGCCCCTTGGCATGTAAAAGTCTTATCTCACTCTCAGTTATTAAATTAAAAATTGAGAATTTTATTATCTCATTTATCAATTTAAACAATTAATAGCTCGGTAAGATATTTTAATTATTAATATAATAATAATTTTATTAGTTATTATCTCAGTTATTAAATTAAAAATAATATTAATAAAATTATTTATCATTATCTTAGCTATTAAATAATGAAAGAGATAGAGGTAACTCAATAATGTAAGAAATTTTTATAGTATTTTAAATTATTATAAGAAACAAAAAAAAAAAAAAAAAGAAACGTTATGTCACTTTTGATGCACCGTACTAAACCTGTCAACATATTCAGCCATCAAATTATCGACGGAGACGTGAAAATAACAATACCTCGAGGTCTGGAAAATTTTATGCTATAAGTGATTTTGTTTCAGAACAGATTAATTTAACTTTAAATTTGCTAATTTTACAAAAGTAACGTTTCAGAAATGTATATCTTATTTTAGTGAGATTTTCAAAACCGAAAAGTTAAAAATGGCCATTTTGATTGGTTTTTCAGAAGTATCAACTAAAAATCATTCAAATTTCTATTTGAAATACTCCATAGTACTTTTTTTTCTTTTTCTGGAATTAGAAAATTTAATCCTTTAGCTTTCAGTTGAAGCGATTGAAAAACTTCAAAAAGGATTTTTCCTTTATGAAAAATACATTTAAACCTTAGGTATACGAATTTTTTGCAGGTACCTAGATTTGTATCAGTAAATCGTTATCGGCCAAAAAACTATTACAATTTAAAAAATATTTTCTGGCTTTAAATAACCTTCAAGATTGTTGAGCTATAAAAATACAAATCAATCTTATGCAAATCCAGATCAGCATATGGTTGTGCTTTTTCCACGAAGAAAAAGCTGTTGTTTTTTTTTCCTCCTTTACTTGATTATTTATATTGAATTTATTTCCTTTTATTTTGATTGACAAACAACAATAATCAAAAACAGAATGTTGGTATTTTGCTACACATGTACCAAAATATTTCCAAAATTTGATGTCACTGCCCCTCCCATTATTGCATTTATGGTAACATGTTTTCAGGGTACCAGTTCAATACCCAATTGGGTTAATGCTGTTTTAGTGTTTACCCATAGCACGGCTCTCCATAAATTTTATTTCTTTAATTGTGAATTGCCATGGTTTTGAATTTAATGTTTACTGGTTGCTATCAAGGTTAGAGGTAAGTCTACCCTAAGCTGGGGTAGTAGAGATGGTTTTGGTATTTAACTTGTGATTTGTTCATTTTGCTTCTTTTTTCAATTTTCTGTTCTCTAATAAGGAAATCCTTTTCAATCTTTTCCAATGTATTTACTTGTTTCTTTTTTGTCTTTTTCAGTAAAATCACGAAAGATACACTTCAAGAAGCCATTGCCGCCATTCTTTCTTCTTCTAGGAAGAAGAAGAGACGGTTCATTGAATCTGTAGAACTCCAGATTGCCTTGAAGAACTATGATCCCCAAAAGGACAAGAGGTTTTCTGGCACGGTCAAGTACGGACAGCAATTTTTATTTTTTTTTCTCCCACTACTATTTACCTGTGGCAGACAGGTCGGCAGGAGTGCACTCACAATGGCAGCTTGATTCTAATGAAATGAATAATAGGATAATGAAATGTTTTTCATGTCATTGACTATAGTTTGTTTTATAATCATTTGTTGTGACTGTCTTGGTGGCTCCTGCTGCCCTACTGTTATTAGGTAGTCAGATGACTAATTTTATCTGACGGACCCTCACCCAGGGTCTTAAAATAATTGGGGAGGCACCATTCTTTTTATGGTGCCGTGTCAGAACCTCAGCCAACGGTTTTGGTAAGTAGAGTGCTCTTTTATCTCCCTGAGAACAGACATTGTGTTGATATCCATATCAATTTCATCACAGCAGCATCTTTTCCTATCATCATTAATCTTAATTAGACTGGGGATGGAAAATACCTTTAGCTTAATTTGAAATTGAATTTCTTTCTAATTATGCTTAGTTGGGTCAACCTTGTATTGTCCATTTTTTATGTAACAATGTTTTAATGTTGGTAATTTGCTCTTGTGTTAGTGGATGGTATCAGGTTTTTGTTATTTTGGTTGTTCAGATGGTTGTAAATTAAAGCAAAGTTTCATAAATAAGGGGGCTAAAAAGTGTCACAGCTTTTTTTTTTACATTACAATTTTTAGAAACTGATCCCTTTTTTTTTTTTTTCTTTATAATCTCTGGAGCTGTCTTTCATTTGTAGATTTAGTTTAATTTCTTTCAAAATATTGATTTGAGTAATAACTGATTGGTTGATCTGCTTAAACAAAATTTTAAATTGTGTAACATATAAAGATTTTTCTTTTTCAAATTTTCATTCATTTGTCCTCATTTCTGTTGTTACCATGTTGTGACCCCTGACCTCTTAATGTTGATGCAGGGGACTTTTGAATTGAACTATTTAATTTATGTGGGTAGATGTTCATGTCTAGGGATATCTTTTTGTCTTCTCTTTTTTATTTCTCAGTTATTTCTTGTCCTGTTTCCACTGAGCCTGTGCTGCCCGGTCCAGGGATTGAACTCATAATTACTATGCCACCCAATTTACTAACCAGTGTTCCAATCCTCTAATCACCAAGACAATTGTCTAGCAGAACAAGAACAAACTGATCCTGCGGCTTAGAATTCACTTTAAAATTCCTTGAAAGCTACCTAGATTGTCAGACTGGGTAATGTGGCTGGATGGTACAATGATTGAAACATTGGGATAACAAAAGTGAGGTCATTAGTCTGAATGTAAATAACTCCTTGTTTCAGAAATTCAGACAAGAACTGTTGATCTGTTTCATATGAATTGACAAAATGTTATAAAAAACATTTTCCAAAGCAGATCGATGTTTAACTTGGTTAGGTTCTTTTTTTGTGGCAAGACATCAACCATTAAGAATTGAAGAATGGTTCAATTAAGATTCAAAAACAGGTGGTAGAAGTTTTTAAATAAATTTGAATTAAGACATCTATAAAAACTAATGCTAGCTGGAGTGAGATTAAAAAAAGAAAAAAAAAATTTTTTTCTTTTTCTTTTTCTTTTTTTTTTTTTCTCACAATCTTCTAGAACCTGGATGACCCTTCATTTTTATTTTTCTGGACAAAAATTCCAATTAGCAGCACATATTGCAGGAGCTCTGAGATCTAGAATGATTCTGGGGTCTCTTTCTCAAACTTGTTTCAAGTTTAGGGATTTTACAAGCATATTGGTTAAGGTATAAGCTTTTGGTTTCAGTCAAATTTTATTCAAGCTTGTATTAATGAGGTATAATTCTTGGCTTCCTTGTATTGCCACCTACCATTTCCAAAATTTTGGTTACATTTGGGTTTTGTTTTATGTGAATTGTTGATGAGATTTGTTGTCTGCTCAGTTCAGGGTCTGAGTTTTTCTTTGAACTTGTTAAGTGGTGATAGCCCGCCCATTATGAGATGAGGAAACGGTGAGCTCTTCTCCCACACCACCTGTCATGTTCACAGTCCACAAACTGAGCACTTGAAATGAGGTCATTTTTTTTCCTCTGTCATGTATTTAAATCCCTTGTCTTTTTTTTTTTTTTTTTTTTTTTCCTCTCTCTCTTCCCTCTTTCCTAAGCTGCTTGGGTTTGCTTCTCTTTCTAGGCTGAAGTACATCCCTCGTCCCAAGTTAAGAGTTTGCATTTTGGGTGACCAGCAGCACATGGATGAAGCCCGGGCCAACCATATCCCTTGTATGGATGCTGATGCCCTTAAAAAGTTGAACAAAAACAAGAAATTGGTCAAAAAGCTTGCCAAGAAATATGATGCTTTTCTTGCATCTGATTCTTTGATTAAACAGATTCCCAGAATACTTGGTCCTGGTCTCAATAAGGCTGGCAAGTTCCCTACCCCCATCTCTCACGCTGAGTCTATGAATGGCAAAGTGGAGGAAACCAAAGCTACCATCAAATTCCAGATGAAAAAGGTAATGTTGCTCTCTGTCAATTTGGTTATTGTTATCTCCAAATTTGATGCCTTGGCATTTATTGCAGTGTTTGTGATTAAAAATGCAATTGAGTTTATGAATTTTTTAATAGTTATGGCTGACAGCTTGCAAATATTTACTTAAGACAAAATCAAATGCTGATATAAAAATAGGTACTACCACAGAAAATGCAATGCTTAAGATTTAAAATAACTTCTAATAGATTAAATTTAATATTTCCAATAAGCAAAATACTTTGCTGTATTTCAGAAACTTAATTTAAACTGATTAGTGCCCCCTTTTTAGTTATTGTTTATTGCAATCTAATTCTCTTTATTAAAATAATCTTCCAAAAATAGAATATACTTTGCTGAAATTTTATTTGAGGAATATTAGCTGATTTAATGTTTAATCTGATTTGAAACATTTACCTTAAATTTAAGATATTGCAGAAATGCTTTTTCTTTTCTTTTTTTTAACACAGCATAATCTGTTGATATATTAGTGTTTTATGGGGTCTTTAGCTATAAACTAATTGAATATAATGCGAGTGCCTTTTATATATAATTTTTAAGTATTACCTAATGTTAAAAATTCAAGAAAATATTCTCTGTAATCTAATGTTTTATTGAATTTTAGATACGTTCTAGCTTTAAATTTACTACAGTTATCATCACTCTTATTTTCTGATAATGTCTTGTATGGGCCACCATATCTACAAAAATCAGCATTTTTATGCACATACAAAAATTCAAAATTCTTTTAAAAAAAATTGTTTGATTTGTACTAAGATTTTCAATTTATGATTTGTAAATATAGTTTTTACTTAATAATATCTAAAAGGGTAAAATTAATACAGAATTTTAAGATTTAAAACTTAAATTATTCTAATTAAAATTTAAAAAAAAAAAAAATGAAAACCCATTCTTGTAAAAATTCATTATTCATTGAAAAAAAATTTGTTTCTTAGGACAATGTCCTTAATATATCTTATTTATAAAAGTAATTAAAAGCTTTTCAAATTAAATAATGTAATTTTTTTTTTATTTTTCAGAGCAGATTTTCAGCAAATGGTGTTCCTGCTTAACAAAAACAAATTGATTTAAATTCTCCTTTTTAACTTAAATATGAAATGGGTGGAATTTCTTAAAATTTCATAAAATTAAGTGTATAATTCATTTGTGACTAAGTCTTGAAAATCATTAAAATCGAACCGTTTTTGATTTTTGAAATAATTTCATTAAAAAAAAATGCTAAATTTCCCATACTAAATATTTGGCCCACCAAAAATTTAATAAAACATACTTTAGGCTTTCCTTTTACTAACATGACATTTTGACAATAAAACTTTGTCTTTTTATCAAGTTTGGGGCGTTTTTTTTATCATGGTATGCTCTTTTTTAGTGATTATTTATAGGCATTTATTTACATTCTAAAAACTCCTTTTTCTTTGATATATTTTCTAATGCATCAACAAGTTAAAACCAGCAATTTCGCTGTATTAAAACATTTATAGAATTTAAGAAATTTAGACTATTCAGTAGAAATGTGAGATTTGTTTTTGTTTTTTAAATAAACATTTCCCTAAATTGACTGTATTGGGTGTACTTTATTTTTATTTTTTTTTTTAACCTGTCGAAGGTTAAATGACATTTGTCGAATCCAGAGAAAAAAATAAAACTTGTGATAGTCTGTTAAATTGCAGAATGGTTAAAGATTTTAATGTTTATTTCCATCAGAAGCATCGAAGTAAAATAGGACAGATTTAATGCTATTATTAATTACTTTGATTAGTTTTGTTAATTTTGTGTACATGTGTGATTTTTATATATATATTCAGAACAACTGCACTTTTATTCAAGGATGTTTTCTAAACCATGATCATGTTTTACAAAGGGGGTCATGTTTCTCTTTCATCAGAATAAATTTCCTGCTTTTCAGTCAAATCTTGAATACTCTTTTTTTATGTTGTAAATTCTTTTAATTTCCTTATTGGAGTAACTGCATCAACCAGACTAAATAATGATTTGTTAGGGAGTCATTTTGACAGTTTCATTTTTAGATGCAATTATTTTATTTTAAAATTTGTCTTTGGTTAGTGTGATAAAAGTGCTGACAAATATTTTCTTTTCATTAGGTTTTGTGCCTGGCTGTCTGTGTTGGTCACGTGAAGATGAGTGCAGATCACCTTTATTCAAATATCAGTCTTGCCATCAATTTCTTGGTGTCACTGCTGAAGAAAAATTGGCAGAATGTCCGGGCTCTCTACATCAAATCAACTATGGGGCCATCCCAAAGAATTTATTAAGCTTCTTTGCTATAAAATAAAATTATGGCTCATAAGTTTGTGTTTTCCTTTTTTTTTTTTTTTTTCTTTTGGACAATTTTAGAGCTGTGAGACATTGGGATGTACACATGGTGTAATGGATGTGTGGGATTGGCAAACGGAAATGAAATTCTGTGATAGTCTGTTGCATTTGCTTTTGTATAAATGCCTTTGGGGAAAGGCATGAGATTGCCCTTTCTCTTCCTTTCCTTGGTCCCCTTGGATATTGGTTGTTACCTAATCTTTCTTATTTAATCAATCTCTGAATTTGTGACTGTGAAGACAGCTGGAAACCACTACATTATCTTTCCCAAGAAGACATGGCAATTCTCAAATAATAAAAAATGAATGTGACTAGTCATTGCTTTCCTTTTGAAGGGACATGGCTTTAAGAACTTAAACTAACAACATATTTTTGACAAAACATTTCAGATATCAACACATTTTTAAATGATAGATAATGTTTGGGGTTTTACTGTCAAGTGAATTTAGCGTTCATTCTTCACTGTCAAATGCCCCCCCCCTCCATATTGAAATATTACTTTGCATACTGTACTGTACTCTACTAAATATTTGCAGATATATTTTATATACAGTACTATATTATATTATACAGTACATATTTCTGCACAGTTCCATCACACTAGATGTAGTGTGATGCTATGAGCATTGAATAATCCCACTCAGTCCTCTTTGTTATCTCGTAGAATAAATATTTGTAGCCCATGATGTCACGCTGCTACTAAGAAGAGGGAAAAAATATCCATGAAAATGATCATTTCAGCCATCAACAATTTGCATTATTCTAAAGAAGATAGAAAAAAAACAAGGACCAGCATCCCCCTGTGTAGTGAGAGATGTAGTCTGTGAGCTCTGATAAAGCTCCCTTGTTTCAGGTGTTTTAAAGTGACTGAAAATACAAACCTGACCCTAAAAGAATTTTGGGAGGATCACTTTACTATCAAATTGCTTTAAATCATTGATAAAGCCTGGGAAAGAGTCAGTGATATATTTATTTATATTATCTGTGTATAATTTTTAATTTTGCATAAAATACGATTTTTTATGTCAATATTTTTTATTTTAAATTGGGGAAAATTGTTTTGACATACAAAAGTTCCAGTTACGAATCCACTCCTGGAATGTGAAATTTGTAGGTTGAGGTTCCACTGTTTATATAAATAACACACTAAAAGAATCAGACTTTTGTGGTTTCAGAACTACCCTATTGTGCTTATAATATGACCCTGGATTTTTAAAGCCCAAAACTGAATAAATTACATCCTTTCTATTCCCCTGTAATGCACTTAGCCCTATATAAATCTTTTTTTGAAAAGTCCCATGTTATCCATGATTTATTACTGATTTGATACAGCAATTGGTCATCATTAGCTATCTTAAACTTAGATTAATCAGATTCACAACCTATTCATTTGTTACAATATACTCACTCCCTAGAAGAACTTGTCTGTCAACATTCACTCCTTCATACACCAAAATTCTTCAAACACAGCACATTTGCGTAAAACCACCCCATGAGTTAAAAATTTCAATATATCTGATTAAATAAATTATGAAACATGTCTGCTTATTTTTAGCATAATCCGTTCATATTCACGGATATTTTTCCATGTATTACAATCAAATGATGCATTGTAACTGTGTAATGATGCATTTCTTGCATAATTTAATTGTAATACATGGAAAAATATCTGTGAATATGAACGGATTATGCTAAAAATAAACAATGTTTGTAATTTATTTAATCAGACATGCCTAAAAGAGAATTTGCTGCCTAAATACACATGCTAAGACTTTCACTGATCACAGGAATAAAATTCCAGTGCTACAATTTAGAACTTAAATTTAATGTTTAAATCTCAAAAAAATGGTAATGATTTGGAAAAAATATTTTGTGTCGTTATTTGTCATGTTAAACCTCAACTTTCAAATTGAGTGCAATACCACAGTTCCCAAAACGCCCCACCCTAATGATTATGGACCAAGGACAAGAATTGCCCAGTCTCCGTGAATACTGTCAGGCTAGCATTAATATTATCTTGACCCCCCACCTCTCTTACTGCAATGAGGAAGTTGTTGCCAGAGGGTTGGAATCTTCGGAACTAAGTGCCTTCTCCCATTTCAAATCAGGAAAGATCATAATTACTGTATTTGATGACATATAAGACGCACCCCAATTTCAGGAGGGAAAATCAAGAAAAAAAATTGAGTAATTATTAAAATTATTAGTAAATGGTACAGCCTAGACTATATTTATGAGGTATTATTTTAGTTAAACAAGCTATGATTACAATTAAATGAAAAATAATAGGAAAAAAGAACACAAGGATATAAAAACTTTATTATATCCAAAGGTAAGAAAACAAAATAAAAATCAAGGAATTATTACAACTGATCAAAACTGTACATTTACCATTTAAATTCAGTCAAAAATTTTCCTTTATATGATCTGTACAACCTGCGTTTTGTAAAAGACTTAGTGGAATGGTGATTTTCCAAGCGTAGCTTAGATGTGACACAAGGCCGAAAGTATGGGGCACCCAGTGAGGATCGAACTCACTTCTCAGTCGTAATTGTTATAGCGAGACAAGCTTGCTAACCATTACACCACATCGAGGTGTCCAAAAGAATTTCCAAGCGAAGCTTAGATGTGGCACAAGGCCGAAAGCATAGGCTAGCCAGTGAGGATCGAACTCACTTTTCAGTAGTAACTGATCTAGCAAGACAAGCTTGCTAACCATTACACCACACCGAGGTGCCCAAAAAGTGTTAGTGGAATGATTACAATATAAAAATTCTGATTGTATTTCTACCAATGCAGCCGGAAGTTATCGAAAGAAAAATATTAATGAAACAAATATATTTTACAAATATATCATTTGAATTTATTGCATATAATTTTAGTGAAACAAAGTACTAATATTAAACGTGATGAAATCAATCTAATGAATGGTAACACATTTAATCTGCACAATAGCCTTTTAAATAATGACAATAGGTATATGAAAGTTTCTCTAAAGTCTAAACTAATAGGAGTTGCCAGGAAGCTAATTTCAGCAGACTAGCGCGAATTTTAAACCTACATATGGCATATAAGATGCAATAGAATTTTAAAAGATATTTTTAGTAAAAAAAAGTGCGTCTTATATGCCGTCAAATATGTTAATAAAAACAAAAAGTAGATGAAAGTGTATATAACACTATATCAAAAATTAAACGATAAAATGTTTAAAATTTGCACTGTTTATTGAAAATCGCACTAAAACTACTACAGTACACTGTATAACATTAGATCATAATATATATACGACCATTTGTAGATGTCTGTTTATTAACATGACTACACGATTTATATTTAAAATAAAATACCACAAAATATGAAACACGAGAAGGAACAAAAACGGTTTTAAAACATTTTTGTGTAATGATGTACATGCATAGAGGTTACTATTTTGTTGGTGTTATGTCCCTTTGAATTAAAGTTTTACTGATGGAATTGAAATATCTTTATCTGAGCTCACGAAAGTTGAATGAATTATAAAAGTATTTCAAAAAGAAAAGTTCTTGTTGCTTGTTTGGAAATGTTTGTAATGTAGTTTGGAAAATTTCGTACATGCGTGAATATGTTTTTAATGTCTGACCGCACGTGGTCGAGACGAGATCCTTTAAGGTTACATCTTCTGCAGGAAAGAGAAGAAGAATGAGCAAACTTGAAAAAATAAGGTAAATGGCAGGAAAAACTTGACTGTCACGCGTTGGAAAAAGATTTGTACATGGGTGGATTGCAACGCCCACTTGTGTTTTTATTGACCGATTAGAATCTGATATTTGTACGTATTGCAAAGCTTGTTTATTGACCAATTAGAAGCTGATAATTTCTTTAATTTGTTTATTGTTTGTCAATTAAAAAGGTGTACTATTTTACTTTAGCTATTAAGGACAATGCGTGGACGCAATGCAAATATTTGATGCTAGCACATAGTATAAAATACAAAACAGAATGAATGATTTCAAAACATAACAATTGAATTTATTAGTGTTTTGTGTACAAGCATAAAAGCTGAAGGTGTGATAGTAATTATTAAACTGTAGCTTAGAAGAATAAAGTTCCTTTAGCATGTTAGGAATGTTGTGAGTTGGTAAGAGTTCAGAAGAGATTTTAGAGTTCGTACTTGTGTGAATGTTGGTAATGTTCTTTAATGTCTGAGTGCATGGTTAAGACAGGAGTTCTTGAAGATTACATCTTGGCAGCAAGGGAAAGATGAATGAAAAGAAAACCCGAGGAGCTTTACACGTGTTTTGTTTATATGTGGCTGTGTATCACATGGTAGGCTCAGAGCATATTGAGCGGGAAAACAGATTTGTTGTATGCAGGTGGTTTGATTGGTCGGAATTGACCAATCAGAGAGCTAGTTTTGAAGCGATCAACCAATGAATGCTTGTCGCATGATTTCTATATACTGTGTGTATGTAATAGTGGTGGTTAGAACAGTACATGGGTGGATTGGATTTCCCACTTGTCTTTTTATTGACCAATTAGGCACGGTGGAGTAATGGATAGCGGCTTGGACTGAGGAATCGGAGAGCCAAGTTCGAATTCCAGTCAAATCATTACATTCACTTACGTGCTAATGTCCTTGGAAAAAAGCTAAAATAGCAGGACAGACTGGGTTCTATTTAGCAACTGGTCTAATGAATTCAAAACCTGCGGAGGGTCGTTTGGGGACCTTTAAAAAACTTAGTGCACCAGGTCTCTGTAATCGGCCTTCAAAAAGTGTGGATGGTCCTGCACGAAACCTTCACCACTATAATCAAATCTCATGTGCTATACATGCGGGTTGGGGACCGCTTGAATTCCAAATTCCCATGAAATTCCA